GTTGCGCGCCGCGCACGTCTGTCCCGGGTTGCAAGGAATGTCCTTGATGGTGCTCCAATAGGCGCGCGAGATGCCCCGGAAGCCATACTTGAGCGGCGTAATGAACTCGCACCATTTAAAGTAGACAGGGATGTCGTTCGAGTTGAGGAAGAGGCCGCCAAAGATGACACCGGGCAGCAGAAACAAAATGCCGAGGATGTTGGCCACGTCCGCGTTCTTGCCGATGCACGACACCATGTAGCCGAGCGCCGTCGCCGCACTCGTGATGAGCATGATAAAGAGGTAAAAGCTAAAGAAGAGCGTCGCGTCCGATCCGTCAAAGCCAATCATAAAGTAGAGCGGCAGTAGAAAGATGAGCGGAAACACGAGCTGGAAGAAGAGCTCGCTGACGTTCTTGGCGAGGTACCACACCCATGCGTGGTAGAGACCCGAGTCGTACTCGCGGCGCATGATGGGGAGCTCCATCGGCACGGCGATGAATTCGGGCGTCGCGGCGCCAAACATTTGGTTGATCGCGACGAAGAAGAGCGCGCCCGTGAACGACTGGACGCCCGACTGCGACATCTTGATCTGCCAAAAGATGAGGCCCGCAAAGATGGACGTAAAGATGCTCTGGCCGAGGCGCGCGCCGAACGCGATCTTGTCCCGGACGAGCCGCGTCACGTTGCGCTTGGTGAGCACTCGGAGCTGGCCCATGAGTCCCATGTGCGTCTGCGTGTAGCCGTTGTCGTCGTCGTCGTCGAACGCTTCGTTGCTCGACTCGGACGACGCCGGCGCCGTCGTCAAGTGTGTCGACCACGCTTTCACGAGCGCTTGGACGCGGGCCTTGGACGTGTCGGTGCCATCGGCTTGGATGATCTGGCGCATGAAAAAGTCGGTCGGGTTCATGTAGTTGGGGCACGCGTGGCCCTGCGCTGCAAAGTACGCGACGGCTTCGGACGCTGGACCGTTGTAGACGGTCTCGCCTTCCGTGAGCAAATAGAGTTTGTCAAAGAGCGGGAAGAGCTCGGACGACGGCTGGTGGATGGTCGCAATGACCGTGCGGCCTTCGCGTGCGAGCTGGCGCAGCTGCAGCACGACCGACTCGGCCATGACCGAGTCGAGACCTGACGTCGGCTCGTCCGCAAAGAGGAGCGACGGGTTGGTCAGAATCTCGGTCGCGAAACTGAGACGCTTGCGCTCGCCACCCGAGATGCCGCGGATCTTGTCGCCGCCGATTGGCGCGTTGCGGCACTTGCCGAGACCGAGCTCCTGGATGACAAAGTCGACGCGGGCTTGGCGCTGCGATGCGTTGAAGAGCTTGCCCATGCGCAATTCGGCCTGGTACAAAAGATGCTCTTCGACCGTCAGCGTCTCGTAAAAGACGTCGTCTTGCATGACGTAGGACGCGTGCTTGGCCGACGCCTTGGACCAGCGCGCACCGTTGACGAGGACAGACCCGGACGTGGCCGACTGGCGACCCGAAATGATGTCGAGGAGCGACGACTTGCCGGCGCCGGACGGACCCATGAGCACGACAAACTCGCCCGCGGTCGCCGACCCGTGCACGTCGTTGAGCACGACCTTGTCGACCGTCGACTTGGCGCCTGGCGGCTTCACTTGGACCGTCTTGGTGATGTGCGACCACTCGAGCGTCATCTTGGGCACGTCGACGAGGAGCTTCTCGCCGGCCGTCGGCGTCGCCACGTCCACAAACACTTGATCGGAGCGCTCCATGGGGGAATTGAATTGTGAGAAAGCGGATCGCATGAAAGCGCGGGCTTAAACGTTCTCGCTGATTGGCTGATTGGCTGATTTCGGATCGATGATGCTACAGACGGTGGAACGTCACGATGCGAGGCGGTCTATTGGCACCGATTACGTTCGCGTGGAGAGTATACGAACGGCTAGTGTCAGCCGAATATACTGTTCACGGGGTGAGAGGTCAACTTTTGGTCTACCGCCGCGTTCGATCCTGTAAACAACAGACGATGGAGCTCGAGCTACTGCGTTGTGGACGCCACGTCACCACACATCGGGTTACTATCCCCTCAATGTTAAGCGCGTGTATAGACCCCGTCGATGCAGGGCCCGAGGTGTATGACTCGGGTCGCTGGCTCACTCTGAACTCCGAGCCGCAGTGCATAAAACTGAAATCGAAGCACTCTCCTGAGGCTATACTGTACTACATTAGTAGTACAAATTGGACGATCACCAAAAGATCTCAATGCGAGAAACTATGAGTTTGGCATCAGCCTCAATGCTGTGTTGGTGCAAATGCCCCGCCATCGAGGAGCTTTTAGGAGCAGCGACTGCTCGTGGCTTCAAGGCAACTCAACAGCACGTCGCAAACCATCATCGCGACGCTAAGATGCACCTCAAGAAACAGAACGTATCCCCGTCGCGTGCGAATCACATTACAGTCGTTGAATCGTTGCCATTACATCGCGCAGAAGAGAGCTCACACGAAGTCCGCGCCTCCTACGACGGCATCAGAGGAAATCAACTTGTGATGCATTTACACGACCTGTAGCATCATGCACGCATTTTGGCAAATCATCGTCGTCCATACCACACAGCCGGTGATCACATGGGACAATCATTCTCGAAACTTGACGCGCCATGAGTAGCGTCACAGGCCTGCCTCGTCGGTTCTCTTCTCAACCGTCGGCTCCTTCCGCTTTCTCACAATTCAATTTCCC